AAATAAATAAATAAAAATCGATCACGCGTATACAGCTCCGAGAACCGCCAGTGCCATCACCATGCACGTGGTTGCCTGATGACGCAGTCCATTCGACACACGTTTCACCCGACATTGTCGACCGGACATTTAACAACGGGCCTCCCTCCTCCACCACTCACCAAACGCACAATATTGATGAGTCTTCCCAAATTTAATATTAACGAGTCTTCCCCTGAAATTGGTACGAGTCCTCCCCTGGAACATGGTAAGATACACAACCATAATTTTTCTCGTCTTCCGTGCGTTTGGTGAGTGGTACAGCCCACTAGAACGAGCCCGACGTGCGTTTGGTGAGTGGCACAAAACCACTAGAACGAGCCCGATATCACTTTTCAGGTTGGGAGAGAGGGGAAACGGAAAACATCCCTCCCTCCCGTAGTGGAGGAAGCCAACACGCCCGCACGTTTTGGGCAAGAAGGGAAACGACACCCAACGCTGCACATCCTTTCACCTTTTTTCGTGCAGAATGCCAATATCGCCCCCATCTTCCTCAACTCAAATTCATTCTTGTAAGATAGAAAAGAAAGATTAACGACACACAGCGTTACACATCCTCACCTTTGTTAGTGGAGAAGGCCGCTATCGCCCTCATCTTCTTTCTCATAAAATATAGATAGCTATATGAATTCTAACATTCTATTTCAATTATAAATAGAAATAAAATTAAAAAAGACGTATTTTAAAATAAAAACGGTATTTTTTTTACTCTAAACCAGATTCTAGGATAATACAGAATATTTAAGTACTTATGTTAAGAGAATATAGGTACTGCAGTATACATTTTGGTTGGGAATTGGTGCAGCTCTTCCAATCGATAAATCATCGACTAGAAAAGATAGATAAACAGCACAAAAAGATAGATAAAGCACACAACGTTACACATCCTTACCTCCGTCAGTGGAGAATGCCAATATCGCCCCCATCTTACTGAGTTATTATTCTTGAGATTATTTCGTGTAAGAAAGAAAGAAATGAAATTCAGCCATCCACCCGAGGTTCGCATATGTGCCCACCAGTTTCGTGGAACAAGACGAAACCCAACAGACCTTGGCTAATGGAGGATGCCATAGCACGCCCGTTTTTCTGAATTTAATTTCTTGTAGAAAATACAAATCTCAAAAAAAAAAAAAAAAAAAAAAAAAACAATAGACATTCAAACATAGCCTTCGTGCCTCTCCCTCTGCACGTCGGCGCACACTTAGCAGAATGTAATTCCCAGCCAGTCTCACATGACGCTCATCGCCTTTCCCCTCTCTTCCCTTTTTTCTTTGTTGGTTCATATTGGGAGGGAAGGGGGAGATTCGGCCATACAAATATACATTCAAGCAAAGGAGACGCGATGAAAAGATTATCGAAGATACCCCTCCGATGTCAGACCAGGATAGGGAGAAGGTAAGGGACCGGGCAGAAGACGTCCTGCATACACATCACGATAAAGCAGAGAGCGATCAGGGCAGCGGTGAAACCGGATTAACGAACGACTCTACCAACGGTAGTGGCAGAATGCGGCAACAGCCTGTCGGGAGACAAAGTAGCTCTGGAGTCGAATACACATACTCAGAAGCAGATGTCAAAGCGATGAACTGTTGAATACACACATACGGTAAACCCATGAACTATTGAAATACAGACAAGTTCATATCCCGCTGGAACCAAATTAGCAAAAAAATTCTGCCCGGACCTCGGCGCGTCCAATTTGAAGCTGATAAAACGCCTCTCTAGGGTCGGCCCACTGCGGTAGGTAGGGGCTGGAATCACCATCATACATGTCAGCCAAGTCAACCACCGCAAGATGTGTCAACCATACCAATGCGTGCAGGACTTAGCAAAGGCCGAGAGGTCCCCGGATAGCCCCTTCCTCGTTTCTTTTCTGTTTGTAATCACAAGTTTGCACATCTTCACTTCCATTGGAGCCTACTTGTCTGCCGCTACTCTGCCTACCCTCCTATAGCCCTAACCAGAACGCTACGGCAACATTCACACTCAACCACTTTTCGAAGCTTCGAAGGATCAATATCTCTGTCTCCACTTGCTCGACGACAGAGCAGCAGACCTCTTTTCTTCTCTTTCGCAATCGAGATGCCGCTTTGAAGCCGTTCTGTCTCCATCTGCTGGACGACAGAGCAGCAGAGCTCTTCTCTTCTCTTTTGCAATCGAGATGTCGCTTAGGACCAGCATTCTCTTTTGCAATCGCCATCGTCCGGCCATGCAGTCGGACGCAATCATCCTCCGAGACTCTCGCTGTCGTCGGTCAACAACCCTCATATCACTGACCTAACCTCCGACTGAACCGCCACAGATGCTGTGTGGTGATCGCTCGCTGTGTGGAGGTCCCTCGCTCATCTCGCAATACCCGAACATAGTGCCGAGATCAGTAACAGCACAACGAGGAATTTAACCAAAGAAAGAAAACGAAGTCTTCAGATCTCTCTCTATTATCGTCGCCGCTAAGAGCTGGCTACCCCCTATATTACACATCACACCTATTATAAACAGGTTGACTGATTATCGAGAATTCAGACCCTCGTGGTACACCAAGAAACGAAAAAAAAAGCTGAACACACACGGTACTACCCATCACTTTGGCCGATGTTCTCCCACAGAATCTCGTACATGGTTGTTTCTCATAAGCATCCATCTATCACCTTTGACAGTAACGACACTGCACAGCCGCTGCGCGCCGACATGTTCGATTGCTACGTTTGCTTCTCGTGAGCGCCCACCGATCACCCTTCATAGTGACGACACTAGCCGCTGCGCGCCGTCATGTTCGCTTAATACGTTTGCTTCTCGTGAGCATCCTTCGTTCACCATTGAAGTTACACCACCAATCGATAACCGCTGCGCTGTGACATGTTGGCTTAGTGCGTTTTCTTCTTGTTGAGCATCCATGGCCCATCCTTCATAATGAAATCAATTCCCTGAGAGCGGACGAGGGAGGCTTATATATTCGTATAAGCGGTTGTTCACGACGTCCGTGACGACGCGCGATACCCGCTGCGCGCCGATATGTTGGCTTATTGTGCTTTCTTCTCGTGAGCATCCACAGACCACCATTGGTAGTGACGACAACCAATCCACAGCGTGGAGACAAGCCTTAAGGGGTTTATTCATACGCGCTACTTCACGACGTCCGTTCCGACACTATTTAAAAGCGATGCGGGTCGACATGAGGGCTTATTACGTTTTCTGCACGCATCCTCTTATGTGTACACAGGAGCACCAACCAACCACGCATGCTGGCGTGCATGCGTGCATGTGCATCTGCATACATGCTGCACGGATGTATACACCATCCGTGCACGGATGTATACACAATCCGTGCGTGTGCATCTACATGTCTCAATCACCTAACCATGCTCGCGTGCATGCGTGCATGTGCATCTGCATACATGCTGCACGGATATATACACAATGCATGTGCATCTACAGACACGCTGCACGGACGCGTACGCAATGCACGCACGGACGCATGGTCAGTAGATCCTCCTCTGCAGCAACCCCAGAGAAGACACAGATCGTCGTTCTACCCATGCTAGACGAGAACGATAGCAGCAGCCACAGCCTACAACCAGTGAAGCGGGCGTAGACGCAGGAGAAATCGAACGCAACATACATGTGACTCTCTTTTCTCTTCCTTCTTCTTGAAATGAGTACAACAGCAGTTCTTCACAGTGTACCAACGGAGTCAATACCCCCTTAACGCCGCAGGGAAAAACTCATGAAGGCCAAAATAAAAGAACAAGTTATCAAACCATACACCATGATACACGGTGTACCAATACTCCAGGCTCGCGAGCATGCTTAGTTGATTCTCAAACCATGCACGCACGCACGCGAGCATGCTTAGTTGGTTGAGACTATTGCTCAAAGCTCATCAGGTCTCTAAACACTCTCGACGCTCAAAGCTCATCAAAGTTAGAGAAACATTGATTTCAACTCTCCAGAGAGAGTCCTCCACCAACGATTGTGAGCTGCCTGCCCAGTTTGCCACGTTTTTTTTTTTCCCGCTCAAGACGCGTGTAGAAAGCTCTGACTACCGTCTTCACCCGAATAGAGCGCCCGGTTATTATACCTGTATCTCGTGCAACTTGCAGTCCAGATATGGTCATAATTACCGGAATTCCGTTCGTGTAAAGACTGACTCAGTTTTGACTAGTTATGGTCTCAAGGTCAATGGCCTGGACGAAGAGAGGCGCGCTGGAGGAGTACACCCGGTCAGTGACACGTGGGGCAAGGAGAATGGTGCTGTGCTGGGGGAATGCATTCCTCACTACTATCTATAAACCACCCCCTCTAGTTTTTTTTTCCCCGCTCAAGACGCGTGTAGAAAGCTCTGACTACCGTCTTCACCCGAATAGAGCGCCCGGTTATTTAGCTGTATCTCGTGCAACTTCAAGTCCAGATACGGTCATAATTACCGGAATTCCGTTCGTGTAAAAACTGACTCAGTTTTGACTAGCCATGGTCTCAAGGTCAACGGCCTGGAGGAAGAGAGGCGCGCTGGAGGAGTACACCCGGTCAGTGACACGTGGGGCAAGGAGAATGGTGCTGTGCTGGGGGAATGCATCCTTCCTCACTACTATCTATAAACCACCCCCTCTACTTTCTAAAAGACTACGTCTATCGGACGAGGCCCCTGTGTAATGCACCCTTTCTCACTACTATCTAATAAACCACCCCCTCTCCTTTCTAATAGAGTATGTCTATCGGCCTTGGCCCCTCCGTGGTCATAGACGGGCGGTCATCAGCTGCTTCCTCTCTTCCTCCTTCCTCGGTCATGGTGAGACTCGCACCGGGACTGCGATCTGCGTCTGTGTCCGTCCTATCCCGTTGATTGGGAGGGTCCTCAGTCGTTTGCTGCTGCTCGAGAGGGTCAGCACGGTCATGCTCTCCTCTTTGGCTTGACTGAATTTCTCCGCCTCTACTCTCCACCACCTCCGCTTCGTCTAGCAATCCCTTCTGCCTCGCTGTCTCTGCAACCACTTCTCCCAACTTAACCGCGCTCGCGCTCGCTCTCTTTGTCTCGTCTGACACTTCTTCGGCCGCAGGAACTCCGAAGAGTGGTTCCGACCCCATCTGGCTCATCAGCTGCTGACCCACCCGCGCGTCCTTGTCCTTCCGCTGCCCTTGATTCTCGGCCACATACTCCCTTTCGGTCAGGCCCTTTTCCCGGGCTTCCTCCGCCGCCTGTTCCCCGGTCTCGTGCTTCAGCTCCGCCGTCTTCAGTATCTGACTTATGTCGTCCTCCCTCTCCTCTCCACTGCGCGGCTGGGGGGCCGCCTCCCCTCCAGTCAACTCCTGGGCTCTGTCCATCGCCTGCATCTTGGTGCGTTTTTCGACAACAACAACCGACTACTGCACCACCTTTACAGCCGATTTCAATCTCTCTCTCTCTCTCTCTCTGTCTCTCTCTCTCTCTTGGTCGCTCGTTCGTTTGCCGAGGGTCAATGGCCAGCCTCTGACTTGACCATCGTCTCAGTGTCTCTCCCCGGTTTTTCTTCCCCTTCGCTACGAAGATATACCCGATGTCCTCCTCACTCAGGCGCGCGATTGCCCCTGTCCGCCTCGTCCTTTTCCAGAGTTTAGGCAGTCCTGGCGCGCAGAGCTTCGAAATTCCCCCGCAGTCCTCGCGCTGACCTCCGTATGGCGCGCTTCGGACTTGGAAGCTGGGAGGCCGATACTCAAACGTCGAGCGCGGTAAGGCTCTTATAGAAGCTGCTACTACCGCTACTGACAGAAACGCCGTGCTCGAGCCCTGTAATGGCGAATCGACCTACCTGGTTACCCGGCACATTCCAAAGTGGTGCATGAAGGGATCTGAATCTGACGTTGGAAACCGGCTAAGATGGGCAAGTCTGGCACACATTCCCCTCCAGCAGTATTTTTTTCTTTTTTCTTTTTTTTAAATAAAGCTGTCTTCTCGTCATCCGGAGACAACTGTGTAACAGCTGGAGATAAGAGCATACACCTCCAGCATCCGGAGACAACTGTGTAACAGCTGGAGATAAGAGCATACACCTCTAGCTGCGTAACTAATGGCTGGAGATAAGAGCATACACCTCTAGCTGCGTAACTAACGGCTCCGTTCCATTGGTGGGAAGCTTCGCCTTCTTTTCTTTTCTTTTTTTTTCATAAATAAAGCTGCCTTCTCCTCATCGGGGGACAACCATGTAGGTATTATCATCGGACTAACCAGCCCAGGCCCCTGGCCGGTGTGCCCCGTTGGGGGTTCCCTGAAGGCAATCAAGGCCACCCTGGGCTGAAAAGGCCACCCGATGTCAGATTAGACAACCATATATTTGTCTCTTACCTCACATATTTTTTGACTGGCGTTCTGCCATTGGTAGAGTGCTGGGGTTTGAGAATGTGTGTTTTTCGTTTTTGACTGGCCACCCTGGGCTGAAAAGGCCACCCGATGTCAGATTAGACAACCATTAGCAATGTTGACAGGGTTTGATGTGATTGGTAGAGTGCTGGGGTCTGAGAATGTGTGTTTTTCATTTTCCATTGTTTTTTCGTACAGTGGACCTTGAACCCGCGGTTTGGTTTTCGTATTGTTTTTGACTCGAATGAATGAGTGCGGTGCTGGGGTTTGAACTTAGGACGCTAGATGTGGGGACATCTGTGACTCGGCCTGTTAGCACTGATGTTTTGGTACCACGTTTGTACCTGGGTACGGTTTGTTTTCCTCGGACCGGTAGCACTGGTACCGTATATTTTTTGGTGTTCGATATATGTGTGAAAAGCAGAGGTTGTGAGCTCTTCAGGCTGATGGTCGACGCGGTCACTAGCATTCCGGAATGTGAGTGATTAGCGCAAACGGAAGTGGGTATGACGGAATGTTAGGCTAGTCCGAGGTGCGATGGTGGAAAACCCCCTGATGAGGCGACGGCGGTCGTCGAAACGCGTCGGGGACGCGACCTTGTTCTTATTCTTCCTATCTTCTTATTTGGTTACGCGACTTTTGCTCGACTTGTTTCGACTTGTGGTATTATGTCTTTGATGTATTTCGACTATGAAGTTTGTCTTCATTTCCTGTCTCGTTTATCAACTATCGACTGCCCATGTTAACACTCTTGGAAAGAAGTTGCTGAGAGGAGTGAGCGTGTTTGCATTACGATTCCTTAAGCCTTGTATCAGGTTGTGAGTCAGCATTACACTGGCTATCGTTTGACTTCTCCGGACCTGAGTACCGGTAATATCGGTGTTGACACGATGAGTGATCGTAGGGAGCGTTCACGAAGGGAGCATCGTTCAAGCAGTGAAGACCGTTCTAGTTACCGGAGCTCCGATCGTGGATATGATCGTGAGAGGCCTTGTCGACGTTCTCCACCAAGATGCTATACATGTAATGAACGGGGGCACTATGTCAATGGGTGCCCTAACAGGAGCTTGCCGTCGACGTCATACGACACCAGAAGGGGAAGATCTGCCCCCCCCCGAAGGATGAAGCGAAGGACAAGAAGCAGGAAGCTGAGGCGCTCCAGAGGCAGATTGAGGAGCTCAATAAGAGTCTAGCGTCGGTATCTGAGTTCGTACTGAGCGAGAAGGTCAAGCGTGCGGAGGAAGAGCGCCTGCGTCAAGAAGCGGAGGAGGAGCAACAACGTATTTGGAAGGAGAAAGAGTTGCATGAAAAGAAGGAAAAGAAACTTTGAGCGAAGCTGCAGAAGGAAGCAGAGCGCGATGCTGTGATGGACAAGAAGATGGAGATGTGAAGTTTGGAAAGAGATTAAATTTGAATTTGAGACTATTGATACTCTATAAGTCTAATAAATTTCTTTGAATTTCAATGCAGTTAGCACTCCGTACGGGTGACTTTTTTAACCGTATGGAAGCTAACCTGGGACCCTTACTCGAGTTCGCAAGGAAGGCGAGTGGAAAGAAGAAGGTGGTGTTACTCTCGGATGACAAAACAGCACAAGCAAGTAGCGGAAGTGAGACGGAGAAACTGCGCAAGAAAGGTGGGAGACTGACGATCAGCGAAAAAAGGAAGCGGGGCCCTAAGCCCGTTTTCGAGGACAACCCACCGATGATTACGCCTTCTAAGCGTACACCGCGGACGAAGGCAAAAGAGGGAGTGACAGTGGGGCGTGTTACATGGTCACGTAACAAGATCAAGACCAAGCTATCTCCCTTCATCGAGAAGCTAAGGAGCCCGGGAAAGGCGGACGCATTAGCGAAGCTACGATTTCGGAATCAAGCGATGGAGGAGATCCGTGGACTGGATGCACAAGAGCTCCAACTGATATGCAAGAATGAGGGCGTCTGCTACAACGGGAAGGTGAAGGCCATCTTCAACATCGCGAGTCATCGTACCAGGGTGGCTTTTGGTGAAATCGAGGGCGTTGAGCAATCCGAGTCAGGAGACTTTGAGGATGAAGAATCGACAACGGTTGACGTTGAAGAACCGGAAGCGGAAGCCTGAGGATACAACGGAACTGACGAGATATGGGACTTGGTACTGGAGTTGACGAGGTACAGGGATGGGTCAGATCGACTCGACCGCTTGGCAAAGGAGATTCTGCGAATCGGTATTATCCTGCTAGCACTGCGCGGTAAGGTGAGGTGGCTACGGAAGAACGTGGAATCATGGAGGAAGTTGTATGAGCGTTTTGGCGTAGACTTTGTGAACATCGACTGTTGTGTCTATGTGGCAGTATCGCCGTACTGTAAGCACCAATACGCCGGTAGAACGACGCGAGGAGTGGACGTTAGGTGGTACGAACACCGATCTGCATGTCGTACGAAGAAACACACTCACTTTCACCGTTGGTTGGGTTCTTTTGGAATCGGTAGATATGTCCTTCTCCCTGTTGAACATGGTAAGAGCTCTGAGCTGCACGATCTCGAGCAAACGTACATTAAGTCATGGTCTCCTTTTCTGAATATTGCCGAATCGAAGAGAAGCACGGGTGGGAAGCGGAAAAGAAAGGGGAAGAGGGAGAGAAAGGAGGGGCTAAGTGTTAGATGTAAGCCTATCAATCCTATCAGGGTGAAGAAGTCCGACGAGGATGGCTGGTCTGTTGATCTACTTAAGCTGCTACTGGAGAACGAGGAAGCTGGTGTGTGACATTTTTCGTTGGTTTCTAGTGGCGGTGATGTTTGGACTAAGGGATGGAAGAAGCTCCGAAAACGATTTGGTGAATCCACGGTAAGAGGTGCGGATGAATCTACTACTCCGAAGCTCTGCAAGAGGCAGTTTGAAGTGGGAGGAATTATAGAGATCGAGTATTTGAGGATGTGGAAATCAACATGTGGTTTTCTTAAGCGTGTTCAAATTTCGCTGCTGAGGAACCCACGCGTCTTACCTGACCTGAAAGCTTGGAGTCTGAAATCGCTGATGCAGTTGTATAGTGTCGCTAAGGATTTCCACAAATGGTCGACACGTCGGTACTTACGTCGCCTGTTATCTCGATGTATCCGTGATCGTTTTGGTCTCAGTATGTCGATCGATTTGACCGTTCGTATCAAGTTCGATGACCGTGTCAAGTTGGTGGAGGTGCGTAAGCTGGTGAATGATGGAGTTATGGAGTGTGATTTAGCTTTGGTGTATTAGAAGCGTGCTCGGAAAAAGGTCAAAATGGTGTGGACAAAGGATCCCTCGATCGGCGACCTCATTCACAACGAACGAGTCTATGCTGCTCGTTCGGTGTCTACCTACATTTGTGCAGGGTTGTCCTACCCGAAGGTGGGGCGACACGCATGCTTTCGTTTGAGCCATGGGGAACTGCATCACCGTTTGCTTGCCAATGCTAATGATATCCCAAGGGATAGACATGAAGATAAGGCTTGTATGTTAGGTAAGGAATTGAGAGAGAGTTTTATTTTCTACCATGGAAGAATCACCGAGGAGTATGTTCTAAATTTGACAGGGGTCAGCTTGAAGCATGCATGCAGCAGTCCGAGGATGTTGGCTCGAAACTTAACCTCTCGGATGTAGCAAGAGTGAAAAGCGAGTTGGAGGGGTTTGTCCTGACGCCGTTGGATCGTAACTTCACCGAGACTTTGGCTTTGTGCCCAGCCGTGTACCATGCAGCTATGATGGATACGTTTGTGTTGAGTCCAGGTTACCAAATTGTCCCACACCCTGTTGGCGAAGTTTTGAGGGAGATGCGCGAGGATTTGCATCACGACGGGCTAGAATGTTTCGCACTATGGGATGGGAAGCGTAAAGTTGCTATATCATATGTGTTACTGAAGCATAAGGATATTGCTCGGTATAGGCCTATCTGCCCTACATTTAGCGAACCGCTGGTTCGAACTGGACGTCTCGTATCTAAGGCGCTGAAGCGGTTGAGCCATCTATTGTTCAAGTTACCGATTGATGAGCATTTCAATTTGCACGCAGTCTCCTACCTTGCTAGTAAGCTGCAGCGGATCAACAACAAGATCGACCAGCTCAATCCGACTGGTTTGGTGAGGTCAGTCGTTTATGACATCAAGGAGATGTTCAGTCGGCTACCCCATTCTGAGATTGTGGAGGCGGTTGACTGGCTAATCAGGTACTATCGGGAGAAGGGGGAGTTTTTTGTTCGTGTAAACACGAGGGGTAGGGCCGCTACCTTCGGCTTGACTACTGGAGGCGATCACTGGAAAGCCCTGAAGTTGGATGATGTTTTGAAGTTTGTGAAGTTTGATTTGAAGCACACCTTCACACTTGCTACTGGTGTTCTGCTTCGCCAGACAGTCGGCATCCTCATGGGCAAGAGTACAAGACCGCCTTTGGCATGTATACTGTGTGCATTCTATGAGATGAGATTTTGTCGCTCCTTGAGGAATCTGAGGCGTAATGTGTTCGGACTGAGGCTAATCGATGACGTCGTACTACTGAGCGCATCATTGGAGCTGCGTACCTACAAGGCTATACTCTAGCGCTTTGAAGCATGTTACCCGAAGGGGCTTACAACACCGAATTCATGAAAACCTAACAAAACGACAAAACCTAACATTTTTTATAGAATGAAAAAGTATAACATCAAAGTGTTACTTTTGACACATAAAAAATAATATTTTTAACTGTGTCCCAAGAAAGGGTGCAAAAAAACGGGCAAAAAGTCTAGCAATTCTTAAAATATACAAGAAAATCATTTTAAGCAAAAAGCGTGTTATAAGACTATAAATTGTTTTTAGTAAATTGACAAAAAATAGAGCGTAAACAACACACTTTAAAAACTCGAAATATGTGGAAAGAAAAACTGATTTAGGGAATACTCATTTATAGAACTATAAGTCATTTTCAGTACTTGGTAAAAACCAAAATCTGTAAAAACTAATTTATAGATCTATAAATCATATAAGTCACTTTTTGAGCCTACTGTAAAACCCTTGTTAAAAAATATATGTTATGTAAAAGACGAATTCAAACAACTTTTGCCTCGGAAACATCTTCAAATTCTTAACCAACCACGATCTAAAATTAAGAAATGATAAAATATTTTAATAAAAAATAATATAGTCGTCCATGTATGAGAGAACATATTCAAGCGAACGTATTCGTGAAAAGGACAACATATGCGTGTTTGGGAGACCCTCCAATACGTTCATCGTAGTGCATACCTTATAAAACTATAAATATGATTTCTTTAGATAAAGAAAAAAATAGAATATTTTGGTTCATTAAAAAACAGTGTTTTGGAAGGTAGTGAGTTTTTGTAAAAAAAACCTGCTTTTCTCCTCACCACTTCGAGTGGTTTTCAAAAAGTAGTTTTTTATTCCATTTTTTGCGGATCTTTAACTTTACCTAGAATTTTATTGATGTAGGAGGCCTGAAAAACGTACTATGAGAATCTTTGAAAATTTTTGTGCAAACCTAACAATTTGTTTTGTGAGGTTTTCACGAATCCTATGTTTTACCTTGAAGAGGACGGACAACGGGGATGGTATACTCTGGGATGCGAGATTCGTACTAAACAATTTTTTTCATATTTCGGCTCGGTGCAGCTAACGAAGAATGAAGAATCAATATGGGGTGACGGTAGTTTGGTCTTCCAAAACGGCCAAACGTACTCATCATAGGGGAGCAAACAGCTCAAGAATGCAATCGTAGGCGGACATCTGCATCGTATCGACTCGAATACGATAATATGTGCAAAGATTTTTTTGCGTGTGCTGACGGTAAAGCGGGAACTCCACCTGAAGCTTTACCCGAAAGTTAACTTTGACAGGGTTCTGAGAATCTGAGGAGGTTCGCTGCAGAAAAGGATGGGAATTGAAAGAATGCTGTGAGATTGCTGTGTTGCAATGAATAGGACAGACATGTATTAGCAACAGCGTGTAATTTTGTGGCTCGTATTCTGTGTATCTCTAGAGTTAGCCTTAGCAACGTTGACAGGGTTTTATGTGATTGGTAGAGTGCTGGGGTTTGAGAATGTGTGTTTTTCGTTTTCCATTTTAACTTTTTTCGTACCGTGGACCTTGAACCCGCGGTTTGGTTTTCAGCTTTTCATATTGTTTTTGACTCGAATGAATGAGTGCGGTGCTGGGGTTTGAACTTAGGACGCTAGATGAGGGGACGTCTGTGACTCGGCCTGTTAGCACTGACGTTTTGGTACCACGTTTGTACCTGGGTACGGTTTGTTTTCCTCGGACTGGTAGCACTCCTTGGGTGGTACCGTATATTTTTTGGTGTTCGATATATGTGTGGAAAACAGAGGTTGTGAGCTCTTCAGGCTGACGGTCGAAGTGGTCACTCGCATTCCGGAATGTGAGTGATTAGCGCGAACAGAAGTGGGTATGACGGAATGTAAGGCTAGTGCGAGGTGCGATGGTGGAAAACCCCCTGATGAGGCGACAGCGGTCGCCGAAACGCGTCAGGGACGCTGTCGGTGCGAATACCCTTACAAGGGTATCCGCCGTGGTTTTTGCAGACGACATAAATAGTTTGGTTTGAAGTTTTAAGTATACCGCGAGAGGCGCGGCAGTGTCTGTGGTTTATGTTGACTGGATGGTTGACAAGAATAAAGAGTGTGTGGGCGCGCAGATTTGAGGTGCGCGTGATCTTTTTTTGATTGATGGTTGTGAAAGTCGACATAGTTGCGGACCAAATTTTTGTTTTTCTGATTAAGATAGGATTAAAAGGATTATGTCTCGTGATTGGTGCGCTTGCCGGTGACCTGTGCGTACATGCGGAGGACGGCATCGACAGCAAGGTGGTTCTGAAAGTATTTCGGTAGGTTTGCACGTCAGGCAGTGTTTTAAGTTGTTTATTTGAGCGTCCGACAGAACTAGACCCAACCTTGGGCCTAGCGCTAGCAGGATACGACGCCAGACTTTATGGTCGTCCCAACAGTCGGGGACCTTGAGTGCGTGCCTCGTCTGATGGGCCCGCGTGTTGAGATGTCGGCGAGAGTCCGCTATCACACCGCTGTTGGGAATAGGGCACGGTCAGGGCTCGGGTTTGTAGTTGCACTTGAGGCAAAGAGGCCGGTAATGCAGGATGTATATGACCCACATTTCGGGTTCGGTAGGGTCGCGCGGAGGTATGGCGGCCGGAAGAAAAGAGGAGGAAGGAGCTCGTCCCGCCCGTTTCTGAGGGATATCGAGCAAGCCAAGAGCCGAACCCGGGGTTTTCAACCCGGGCGAGCTGGTTCGTAGCAGTAGTTTGAGGGATAGGTTAGTAGGATGGGAGTTAGAAAGGAAAGGGGCTGCGTGGGAGTAGGGGAGTACTTACCTCGAGGTGGGGCTGAATGTATTGGATCGTCCTTCAGCGATAAATGCATTCGATTTCGCTCGTTATATCGGTGGAAGTAGCGGGAGGCCCGCGTGTGTCGAAGACTCACATGTGTGCCAAGGCGCCGCCCAACCTATCATTGGAAGAAGCTCCTTTCTAACTCCCTGCGAGTATGGCTGGACAGTGGTATATATGTCCACGCTCTAGCGGAAGGTTGATTCGATTTGCTCATTCTAGTGATGGGAGCAGCGTGAGACCGGTCTTGGGGTTTGGGATGCTCACCTGTTGATCGGTGCGTTGCTCTGAAAGTAGCCTTGTGTTATCTCTCTGCGCGCGTGAGGGTGAATTGACAGTGTACCATGTGATGTTCTACGAAACTGGTCAGGAGGGTGGTCAGGTATGGCCATGCAAATCAAGATTACGCACTACAAACGGATGGGAGTGATGGAGGTAGCGGGCGCCTACCTACCGGCGGTTGGATAAAGTCGTGGGGACATTGACGATTGAACATGCAGAAGTAGATGGAGTAGCCAGGAAGAGAAAGGGATAGGGGCTTGCTCCTATCAGAAAAGAGGGTTGCAATTGCACGTTGCTCGACCCACTTAGGGAGCAACGGCGGAGGTAGAAAATGACGAGGAATAGAAGGGGGCGAGGGAGTACATACCTGAGAGGCCGAGCACGGCGGTGCAAAAGGGGGATCTGACTGTTGGTTGGGGAAGTTGAACGGAAAGGCAGAGTTGAAAGGTAGGCTCCGAGAGTAGGGAAACTTACATGTGGATCGGTGGGCCGCCTGTTCCCGACTATTGGAATAGCGAACTAATGAAGGGATAGCCATAGGGTTTTGGAGGCTTACCCATCGGCTAGTGCACAGTCCACCCTGCTAGATGAGGTAACCAAAGAAGGATCGGCATTTGCAGGCACGACTGTTGCTGTTGATCGGAGTAACTTCCGGAAGGGGAGAAGCTACTGCTGATTGCCGTTGCTGCTGCTGTTGAGGTTGGTTTTTCCGGAGGACGGTGTTGTGGCTGCTGGAGGGCTTGTTGAGGATAAAAGAGTGATATGCAGAGTGGTGGTGCTGGAGATCGAGAGTTCGTCGGACAGACCGACTCTGCAGTTGGCTGAAGGTGGTCCAAGCGGGTTTACTTGACCACCATTGCGGGGCCGTTAGTGTTCGAACCAGTGAGAGCATTGTTATTAGCAACCACTTGAGTGAACGGATGCAGCGGACTTGGTTGGGCTATGTAGTATGCTCGAACCTCACTGTTGGAACTGTTGTTGGCTGTTGTTGGCTGCTGCATTTGTGCACGAACTGTTGTCTACTGCGTCTGGACACGGACTACCGCTGCTACTGGCTACCGCATATGTTGCGCAAGCTGCTGCGTCAATGGACTGTGTGCGGACTGCTGTTGCTGGTGGATGCTGCTATTTCCGTTGACCGCCGCTGAGTACTGCTGCTGCGTTTAAAGAATAATACAGGCTGTGGAGCAGCGACGATTAGGCTAAGTGGAGGTGTTGGGATTCAGAGGGATGATCAGGCTGGACGGGTAGGGGGTTAGTGATGTGATTTGGGAGATCGTCAGGGGATTGATTTCGGCAGTTCGACGTCAGAAGTTGACCAAACTGTTACATTGGTTACCATTGTGGGACCCTCAGGTGAGTGAAGGTATCAAGACCCTCTCCTGAGAGTTGAGTTTGTCCCTCTCTTGTATCTCGAGCGTCTGAAACTCCTTATCTTCTGCCCTTTTTACTCTAAGTATAGTCTCGATCTGAGAGGAAGGCGGCAGGCGGGATTGCAACCTGTAGGACCGTAGCAAGACTCTGTGGGGAATCAGCCCACCGATTGCGGGAGCTCTGCCGAAACTCAGGAGGAGTTCTGGAGGCATGGAACTGAAAGGTAACCATTGCTTTCCTTCTATAAACCTGATTATAACTCATACTTGTATTCATTACTATGTTTGACTGGGTATGTTGCTTGTACCCCTATTTTGACTTTCAGTTTGACTTTCAGGACATGATCAGACTAAATAAAGGAATGTATGTGCAACTTCAGTCTTGGTTGTTAGACTGAAAGCAGATTGTGGGATTGCATCCGGGGGAAAGGTGGGAGGAAGGCAGTATTGCATATTTCACTGGGTCAACTAAGGGCTGGGTCAGTTCCATAAGTTTGGGAAGGCTCAGTGCTATGTTTATTTTTGAATTGCAGAGAGTCAGACTGTTCTGTAAGTTTGGATGGTCTGGTTGCTTTGATTTGTGAGGGCTGAATGTGAATGATTTTTCGGGGACCAAGCATGTTCCATAAGTTTGGGTGG